GGTTACCTGGGGCCGACTGAGGGCGCGTAGTGGGGCAGATTTGCAGGTCGACTGTCGGGGAGCCGATGGCGCAATAGAGAGTTGTCGCAAGTATAGAAGAAGCGGGCCGGGGGTGGAGCGACTCTCAAACAGATAGTGGCAGGTAGCTTGCGGGCATTCCGTCGGTCCCTGAGTATGACTACCGATGAGGAGGAGGTAAGAGTGAGTTAACAGAGTGGGAGGGGAGAAGAAGAAAATAAAAATACGAGCGAACCCGGACGCGGGTTGCGCCAGGTGCACCTGAAGCAAGGAGGGCGATGGCGAAGGAAGGGACGGGCTAGTGATAGGTCAGCAGTTTAGGAGTTCGTAAGAGAGAGTGAGGTGCTGGGCTATGGAAGAAGTAGATCGAGGGAGGATGACGGGGGTAGAAAAGGCATAGCGCCCTCGATCCTTACTGAATTTCAGCGAACTCAAGGCCGAATCCTAGATTCCAGGCCAGGGCAAAACTAATGGTAGCGTCGGATCTCACAGGAGACGGGTCGGATTACTAGTATTGGCGGACTGGGCTGTGTGAGAACCTCGGACAGGGATATGATGGAGGTGGCGGAAGATTGTCGGGGATAATAAAGAGCTAAAGCTGAGAGTAAGGGGTAGCCATATCGCGAGCATAACGGTAAGTGTATGACTCATGCATAAGTTAGTAGGCTGATTAGCATGGGTGCGACAGGCTGGCAGGCGAGAAGGAGCGTTCACTGTCTCAGTAGCGTACGAGAGGGCTGGTGATAGAAGGCCGACATACCCGGTCACGGGTGGACAACCGGTTCCGATTTTCTGGCTGTTGTATCGGTCGAAGAGTGGCCCATCCTCCGTCCTCCATACGCATAGAGGCGGGGAAATGGTTTTCTTGTTTTATTCTAAGGGAGGATTTTTTGTCTAAGGCTGAGCATTGTTTCTAAGTTGAATGGCTTAGTCTGAAAACCATGCACATAAGTACAACCTGAGTATAAAAGGAAGTATTTACATATATTTGCATGTGAACTGGCAGCTGGGCATTGTTTCCAAGCCGAATGGCCCAGCGTTAAGCCATATCACTAAGAAGAGAAGGGAAATTACGAACTATAATTGGAAATAGACTGGGCAAGCTGATCATTGTTTCCAAGCCGAATGGTTCAGTCCCCTGCCCATATTTGCTTTTTCTTTTGGGGAACAAAGTCAGAGAATTATTAAACTTTGGATATTAAACAGTTCAGGGCGACTAGGCATTGTTTCCAAGTCGAATGGTCTAAGCCAAATGCCCAAAGAAGAGAAAAGTAGTAGTGCAACCTGTTCGTGTATATCCTAAGGCACGGTGGACATTGTTTCCAAGCCGAATGGTCTAGCATTTGTGCCATATGTAAGTTGGGTATAAGGGTTGAAGCATCTAAAGATTCATGAACTATCTTAATATGAAGCAACTTGGGATGGTGAGGGTACTTACCTTTGTGGTTTGACTTGCATGTGGTTGAGTGAGATGACTATTTGGTCCAAGTTTCAGCTTGGTAGGTAGTTGCTTTAGTTGCTCGCCACGTGCTAGAGCCATAGGAGTTAGTTAACTTTTGTCTTAACAGAGCTCAAATTTTATGTTTGAGTTCGTATCTGACTTAGTACAAATCTGGAAAGTTGTCCTTTCGAAAGGAAGTGCTGCCCAAATTTTTGCTAAATCGGGGAGTTAGACAAATTTTGACTTTCTAGAATCCAAAAGTTTGATTTTTGGACTTAGTACAAATTCGGCGATGGCACTTTTCCTACGGGAAACGCTGCCGAAATTTTCCTAACTTGAAGGAGGTAGATTATATTTCGACAGGTGGCGATTTCCGGAAATCCACTCTGTGTAGGGGAGATTACGCCAGGGTCTACCCTTGCTTTGGACACTGCTTAGCGGTAGATTCGAGCTTAGTTGAATAGGGTGATTTGAGTGAGATCGTGATATGAAGATTATTCTCCATGAGCTTATAGGCTTAACTTGGGGATTGGCCTGTCTTGTGTTACAGGACTTCTTGAACGAGTCGATTCAGGATTTGGGTTGGATTCAGCTTTGATCCTACGAGGATCACCTTCCGTTATCACTGATAACAGGTCGGTTGCCGATTCGTCGGTTTATGACTCGATTCCAACGCACGTTCAATACTCGATCTAAAGGGCTTTAGCCTTGGTGATTTTATTGTTTTGTTGAGGTTTCACCCGGAATTTTATTGAATGGCCATTTAACAAAGGTACTGAGTATTCAATTATGGTTGGTTGGACAGGAGGCTGGGGCTTGCATGGCTAAAGCAAGGGGTATGATTACAGAGAGTGGTTGGGGTTGACTCTGTGTAGTGCGTGAACTTTGTTGGACTTTTTATGTGATTGTAGGTATGTTCTGTGGTTCGGATTTTGGATTTGATTGTCTGCGATCACACATATACATATGGTTGTGAGGAGCCCCACTTTGATTGTGAGAAGTGATCGTCACGTACTTATCCCCATAATATATATATACATATAAGTGTATCTGTGCTAGGAGCTTGCGTGGCCTGAGGGGCCCGCGCATTAAGGGCAAAAGCTGGGGTTGGGGTTAAGAAAAGAGAGGGTAACCCCCTTTTTTTTTTGATTGTATGCTTCTTAAGTAATTCTCAGTCGGACGTTGGTCTTGGGCCGGGATTCCTTGTCGAGGACATCCTTAGCCCTAGGCTCTACATGAAAGGAATTTTCCCCCGCGCAGAGCCTATTTGCCTCGCCTGCCGAGACATTCAGGCCGAAGGTCTGAGGTCTCGCAGCGGCCGCACGGCTATTCCTTCAGCCGTGCAATATCGTGAGGGAGTAGACCCTCACGATACTTCGAGTCTGACACTTGAGTGTCATAAGCGGTACTTGGATCCACGAGGGACCGCTTGATTATGGGCACTACATAGTACGCCATCGTTGCGACTGCTTGCGCACGTTTGCATTGCGAGTCGATATAAGAGGACCCTGCTTGCGCGCAGTTTTATACTAAGTCTTGCGCGCGACACCCATCTGATCTCCGCGTCAGAAAGTTATGGGATGGCTACCGAGGGGCTAGGAGTGTTGTCGCGTTGTTTGTGTTGTGTCGTTTCGTGCGTGTGTTGTGTGTGTTGTGTGTGTGTTTTATTTTTATGTTCTTTATAGTGGTGTGCGCATGGCCTGTGGGATGCGTCCTAGTCGACTGCCGACGAGTTGTGCCTGGGACCTCAGCCCCCCAAGGTGTCGATTCGCGTGCGGGTCCGATAGAGGCGTATTACCGCGCGTACCCCCTATGCTACAGTGAACGACAAACGCCCTCGGCTGGTCCACCTCTGCGATTGCAGCTGATCAGCTTTCGTACTGTGGACTGGTAGCTCAGCGGGGATACGCCCACCGAAGGGAGGTGACAACTCCCGTAAGGTGGAGGTAAGTCGTGCCTCGCGTAGGCCCTACAATGTGGTCGGGGTCCCCACATTTAAGGCCTAATCCATCCCTTTTCCAGCAATTCATCAAGTTGGGATCGCAGTTCATCCAACTCTTTAGGTGACATTCGGTAGATGGCCCCCTTAGGAATCGAACTTCCTGGGATAATATCTATGCGATGCCTAATGGGTCTCTCAACCACACTGCTTGGGGCCTCTGCCACATTTGCGAACTCTTTCAGAAGTTGCTCAATTTCAAGGGACTCAGGCTTTTCCTTAACTTCACCCTCTTTTACTGGGCGCACATATGCCACAAAGACTTGGTCATACAAGTTATATTTCTTGACATGGCGAGCGAAAGCTGGGGCACTCATACAACAATGAGCCAAGCTGCTTTCCTTACCTGATTCATGGAAAAGGCGGATTCTCTTCTTTCCGCCTTGCGGACTAGGGAGCCAACATTTTTAGTCCCTCATCTTTATGTCCGCATTTGCAGCTTTCCCCCAATCCATACCTAAAAGAATGTCAAAAGGAAGATTATCTTCCACCAAGAGAGTCAGAGAGTGGAGAACTCGTTCCACCTACCCCTCTGCTTCGAGCCGGAAGTATACCTTAACCCCTTCAACATGTCTATCCATTACAATTACCGTACTATTAGCTAATTTACTCACCACAGGCTCATCCAATTGCTTTACCTTAAGCCCGAGACGCAACTTTTGCAAACTTTTCTTACTGATATAACTGCGTGTAGACCCACTGTCTATCATTCCTCCTACTCTTACTTCATTAACTTAAAGATCTGCAATTATTAGCTGTCTTTTACGTTTCTTCATTTCAGTCCGGGCTTGGCGACGAGCGGGTAACTCATCACCCATGCCAGCGAGGGATCCATCTAGAGAGATGCATACGCTTGCCACCTCTGGACAGTGTACTAGATGGGGACTGTTTACCTCTTCAGTTTCTGCCAGTGGGACCTTCGAATGGGAGGATTTCTTTTTTTCAACACCCGAAGTCCCTGTAGAGGCAACTGAGACCTCACTGGTTGTTCCCTTTTGCCATCTTGTAGTCAGGGCAATAAGGGACAATGTGGTCGGGGTCCCCACATTTAAGGCACTGGTCGGCAGCTTTCCTTTCCTGCCAAACTTTTTCKGTSATCCCYAGTTTCTTCCAAGGTTCCYCTTCGGGTAGACCTGGATRAGGYGGGTATGGCTTGTYCCAATTGTTGTACCAMGTGCCTCTYYCTCTTCCCCAGRCARAATTGAAACCAYGGCCACCTTGCGAGGGACCATTACCCCTTCCACCCGCGTAGTAGCTACCTTCGCCACCACCCCTCTGGGTACCGGGTCCTCTTCCACCACGTCCGCGGCCTCCTCCTCCTCGGCCACGTCCTCTTCCTTGGCGCCCTCCCCCGCGGGCTGCAACAGACGCGTAGCTCCCCTCCTGAGCTACCGGACCACTGGGTCCTTCCTCAAGACCATAGTCTACTTGGTCCCAAGAAAGTGTTTCGACACCTCCTTCTTCAAAGGTCAGAAGGAGGCTATCTTTTCCAGGTATAGACCCTGAGATTGTGTGGTTTTGTCACTTTTTACCCGCTTGCAGATCTTTCCAGTAATGGCAATAGTTAGCTTCAGCCAAGAAGCCAGCGTGATCTATGGCGATCTTGCTGAACTTCTCGTAAGTCATCCCCTCCTCCTTTGTACGGGGATACAACCGAGTACGAAGGGGGTCGGGTAGTGCGCGTGCAAAACTATTCAATATCTGAGCAGGGGTCAGTCCATGTTCATTGCATTGTAACAGTTCGTCCATGGTAGCTTTAAGTGTTGAGGTGCTTTTCCATTTCCTCTCGGGAAGGTTTAGGACGAACATTTCTGTCCTCCTGGCTAAGTTCTTGTCTTCAAACCGGTCTCGGATGGCTTTGAAAACGTCCTCAATTCGGGAGCTGCAACCTGCCTCCTGTTGCAGGGAGATGGTGAAGCTCATGGCATCTCCCTCCATACACGAACTTGCCATTGGCACCCTGTCCCAGTATGGAATGCGTTGTCCGTAGACGTATGACTCGACTGCTGCAATCCAATGTAGCACACTTTGCTCATTGCATTGTAACAGTTCGTCCATGGTAGCTTTAAGTGCTGAGGTGCCTTTCCATTTCCTATCGGGAAGGTTTAGGACTAACATTTTTGTCCTCCTGGCTAAGTTCTTGTCTTCAAACCGGTCTCGGATGGCTTTGAAAAAGTCCTCAATTCGGGAGCTGCAACCTGCCTCCTTTTGCAGGGAGATGGCGGAGCTCATGGCATCTCCCTCCATACACGAACTTGCCATTAGCACCCTGTCCCAGTATGGAATGCCTTATCCGTAGACGTATGACTCGACTGCTGCAATCCAATGTAGCACACTTTGCTTTTTCTTACCGTTGTATGTCCATGGAACTTTGACCTATATTTTTCGTACATCTGTATCCTTATCTTCTTGCAGCACTCCCTTCCCTTTCTTATCATCTCCTCCGTCTCCGTCTCCGTCTCCATCTCCATCTCCACCTCCTCCTCCGCCGCTGTCTCGGACTATCTTCTCAATTACGGCCAGAGTAAAGGTCTGTGTGATGTGATTGTCTAGTTTTTCAATATAGGATTGTATATGCAGATCGACATCTTTGGCGGACTTCTGTAGAAAGGTATTCTAGACTCCCTCAAACTCATATTGGTGAGTTTCAACCTTTTGCAGAGTTCTATTTATTGCCGCTACCTCTTGCTTTGTGTGAAGGACTGTTTCTGTTAAGAGGGCAAGCTTCTCTTCCGTTGCAGCTTGCTTGTCTTTTTGGTCTTGCAACTCTTTATGCAATCTTGCACCCTCTACTTGCAGCCTTCTTCTTTCATCTAATTCCTGCCGCTTTGCTACTAACATTTTGCTATGTAGTTCGGCACATTTTTCCTCCAGCAATAAATCTTTTTCTCTTTGGTCTGCAATGGATGCCAACTTTGCAAGAAATACATTTCTTTCTTCCTCTGTCTCTTCTACACGATCACTGGAGTATGCATACTGGTTATACCAGTCCAGCGGCTTAACCTCAAGTCCTCCACCTGTCTGACTAGCCTCACCTCTTTCTGCCCGCTGCCTGATGAGCCTATCATCGACAGGTTCATCTTCTTCTTCACTTGTCTGCAATTCCTCCTTCAATTCTCTTGCTAACTTTTCCCTCATTTCTCTCCTCATTTTCTCTTCTTCTACCCACACTTTCTTCTTTATTTCTTCTTCCTTTTGTCTTTTCCGTTCTTCTTTCTCTTTCTTTTTCTCTGCCTGCCGACGATCGATTTCTGCCTGTTCAGCAGGCGTGGGGCCTGGCTTTGTCATCCCTGACCGCATCATCATACAGGACGAGCATGTTCTCCCAAACCCCAGAGGCAAGAAGATTTTGAAGAGGGGGCCCAATAAGACAGAAAGGGTCAGAATTCCCTGCATGGGAAAGTCATCCATGGTGGCTGACGGCACAGGTGGTCCTCCGCCGCTCCACCAAGATACTTCCCCCAGGTGCCACTAAACTTAGTCTGAAGTGGATGAGATACTATGCTTGCTTTTCTTTTCTTTTTTTCAGACTCTGAGAATCGCTGCTTTCACAATAACGAATTTCAAATAATAAAGAACTTAAGTCGAACTTCTCTTTTTTTTTTTTTTACACGCTGTCTGTCTCCCACTCAATTAGTTCCTTCCTTCTTCCTTACTGATCTGTGTACTTGTCAGATGCCTGGACAATGCTGTATCACACTACTACTACTGCCCAGTTTAAACCTTATGTTGTGACTGCTATCTGACGTGGCAATCAGCCACTACAACCAGTGTTCCCCCCCACCTTTACTACCTCCTACGGATGACAACTCAGAGGGGTAGAAGAGAAGACCACCAGGACTCTGACCACTGCTACTTCGAGTGTGACCAGACACTTGTATCCTAACTCCAGACCAGACCTTGGGTAGACAGCAGCAGCAGCGACCACCAGAGAGGGGAAGAAGTAGAGATCACATACACATAGCAAGGTAAGGGGAGCGGAGGTTCTTCTCTCCTTGAAGCGGCTGTCAATGAAGCTCCTCGTCGCTCCGCACTCCAACGCTCGAGGTAAGTAATCTTATGCCCCTTCCTCTTCGGCTTACTTCTCCCCAAGATCCCAATCCACCTCTCTCACAACTCTACCATCGCCAGCATCATCATCAAGCTAGTGTTCCCTTCTTCTTCTCGCCGGCCTTCCTCGTGCCAGCGGAGTGAGTGCAACAAGCTTCTGCTCCGATACCGAGTTTGCAAGGGTCCTGACTGACCTCCACTTGCTGGAGTGTATCACAATGCATGCAATGTCACCCCTCACACAGATCATGACTCAACACACACAACGCAGAATGGAGATGAGATGAGAACCAAGTCGCGCAGCTTATATTATCTCAAACACATTATAACGAGTATCTCGAGTTCATGAATCCAAGCGCTCAACAATCACGATATGTCCCTCTCTCGAACAACAGCTCAATGGGGCCTGGCTAAGCCAGCGCCACCTCTCACAGCAACCAGCGAGCGCAGAACAGGTAAGTAGTCACCATAGCCATTCATCAACCTGTCCTTCTTCTCCCTCTCTCTCTCTCACTCTCAAGATCTCAGTCTTAGTCCTCCTCTCTCATCATACATGCACACTCCTACCACGAAGATCTACTTTGAATGCTACTGACTGTAGTCTAACCAGTAACCCTCTAACTATGCTACTTGGCTGGTGCAGCTATGGCTGCCTCTTGCAAGCCAGCGTCCAGCTCCTTCCTTCCAGCGCAGCTTCTCCTCCAGCGCCAACCCAGCTAGCCAGCGTACAAGTGCGCGCAGCACTTCCACGCTGATAATGCCAGTGGGAATCTGATGTCAAGGGAGGCTGGCCTATTGTTTTATACTACTGGCCTCCTCTGGCGAGGTCTGCATTGGTCTGTATTGGCACTTTGGGCCTCCTTCAGTCCCAGACCCGTGCATATGTGTGTGTCCCAGTATTTTCCCCTCAGGGTCTGCTGCTGCTGCGGCCTGGATTTCGGACTGGGTGTCTGAATCTAGACCCCCTATTAGACTTAGACAGAACTGGGAACCTGCCCTTTGACTTCCTTTTGGACACACACACATTCTGCACGAACAGACACATACTGTATGTACAGACACATCTCTTGCTTGAACAGACATGACCCGCGCACCCCCCTGAACGAACAGATGTGACTCCCAAGTCAAGATATTGCAGCTGTTCGTACAGGGCACAACTGTGACCTTTGACATTGGCTTTTTGTTGCATATTGTAAAGGTGCAGACCAGAACAAGAACCGACCTCTCATACGAAGTACAAGATAGCGTAGCGGAAGACTTAGATACCAATGATCGGAACAATCAATATTGCAATGCAGCCGCGAACGTACATCATCATCATCACTCCATGGTGTGAAGGGGCCTGGCGCTCACATAGGAAGAATGCGCCAGCCCCCAACCATACACAGACGAAGAAGAGGGGGCTTAGACGAAGAAGAGGGGAAGATGGGAATGTCGTCAACACCAAGTCTTCGGCACAGGCCCAAATAGTCCCTCGTCAAAATGTCTGAATCCGAATGTCGAGTCTGGATCCAATGTCGTCAAGTCTCAAGTCACAACTCTCGCTCTCTCTGTCGTAGTCCGTTGATACTGAGAAGTCAGGGGAGAGAGGG